CTAGGGATGTAATTAGTCAGTTCAATCTGGTTCCAGAGTCCACAATCAAGTATGAACTGGCTAATGCTTCAAACTGTGCGAGCTTGTTTCATAGGAAGTGTACACAGATTCTATCATTCAGCTATCAACGTAAGGTTACAATCCTAGGCCTACTATTGAATAAACGGCAATTTAGCAAAGGAATTAAGACTCTGAGAAAACATATGTATTTATTGAATCTAAGCTGCAGTGGTCTTTGGCTAAACATACTATTTTTCCTGTTACGTATATTAACTGGGCAGGTATGAGAGGGCATCTGCATTTACCTTTTTCTTATTCTGTGGGTGATGTGTATCTTTCTCTTTATCTCAGGGTTGGGGTCAAGGTGGAAAAATACTTTTTAAAGAATACACTATAAAATTACTTATTTTTATTTTTTTACAGTTGATGCTAACACATGGGCACAGGTTATTGCTTTGTATCCAACTTTAGTAGAATGTATCACCTGCTCATCTTCAGAGGTCTGTTCTGCTCTCAAAGAAGCTTTAGTTCCCTTTAAGGACTTTATGCACCCACCAGCATCCAAGGTACAGAATGGAGAGTCCTGACCAAATTTTTGCTTTTCAAGAAAAATGCATCCATCAAACGAATGTTTGTTCTAATGTGAGACATCTTTGATGAAATCTCATGAGCAGTACTTGGCAAGCAGTGTTGACCACCTTTAAACTGTACTAACCAGAATTCTGTGATTCATATCACTTCAAGCTTGCATCTCAAATGTTTCTGGGTGAATAGCAATGCAAGACTTTGACTCACTGACTGGAATCCATTTTAAAGTACAGTACAGTAACTTGAAGTGGTGATTGAAAAGTGGGCTTATGTACAGCTTGTTGTGTATGTGTTAATGATGTAATTAAGAAATAAAAGAAACCTAATTCATTTGGATTTATTAGGCAGGTGTTTTGCACCGTTTTTTCAAGTACAAAATTGTACTAAAATTTTATGCAAGAAGGTACTGTAACATTCCACATTATCTGTAACCAGCCTTTGTAAACAAAGGGAAATGTACTTGTGTGTATAATAAATCGTACAGTTCTGTAAAAAAAAAGTTGCATTTATTGTTTAAATTCTTTTTTAAACATCAATAATGTTAAAAGCTTGAAAATGTATTTATTATGAATACTAAGTTGTATGCTTGCATTTTTACTTAATATTTGCCTTCTTTGTTGGCAGATATGTTCATTCATATCTGATCATGCAGATGATTTTTTCCTTTTCTCTTTTGGCATATTTGAATGTATCTTATCTGTGGCCAATGAATAACAATTCTGCTAACAGGACGTATGAATAAAGATAGTGGCAAAAATCTGTGAGCTGCCATGTTGAAATAAATGAATCTGCATAAGCAGAAAATTGCTGTGTAGCACTCAAAACACTACCATACCTCATTTCACTAAATAATTGTTTTACTGTCAGCCCTTTTTTTGTAGCTCTGCTTTTTAAAAAACCCTTTTAGTTGAAATGTATATTTTTTCGGTTTCGCCCCAAACAGCATTGGTCACTATTGTTGAATTATGACTAAAGCAAAATGATTTTAAGTATCAGCAATATTTTACTTGTATTTCTTGTCATTGTTTCAATAATTTTAAGTGCTTTGTTTTGTAACGTCTTTTCAACCTGAAGAATAACTGTTCTACTCTTTGAGTATAATATGTGTGTGATACAAACCGAGAAGTGTATTTTTGAAGATAGTTTAGAGATATAGTAAACTGTCATGAAGTAAAATTGTTTGTTTCCCTTTACTATGAAGTGCCATGGAATGGGTATTTCCTGTAAAACCTCTTCATTGTTGCAAAGAAATCTTATCCCTAGGCCACACCACTTAAATTTTAGTCAGATCCTAATCTTGATAATACTGGAATATGTTGGATAGAAAGTTTTATTCTATTGTCCATTCTCTGCTGTGAGAGCCTCAGCAAAATAATAAGTTACTATGGAGGTGACACACTTTACAAGCATGTCTGGTCACCTGCCACATAAATAGTGTCACAGATAAGGCACATGCCATTAACTACTATAATGGAGCCCTTTCTGTGCTCTTACCTCAGAAGCCTCCATGGTGACTGTTCACACCTTTTGTCATGGAACAGCCAGAAAGCATACTTGTATGGATTTTAAAAGTTTCAATTTTTATTTCAGTAAGGTTGCATTAAATTGTTTAGAGAGAGAGAGAGAGAGAGAGAGAGAGAGAGAGAGTTAGTTCTGAATGTAGTACAAATGAACATGGTAAAGTCTGCACTTACAAGCCCAAACATATTTAGCTGAATCCTATCCTATCCACCATTTGTACTTACTTTCAATTACCGGTATGTGTGCCCAAGGATTGCAGCCATTGAGTTAAAGGTTGCTACCCTCTGAGAAGGAAGATATGCCAAGCCCTGTTTCCTTTTGAAGTCATCTTGACTGTTACAGTGGATCGTGTGCTGTATATACTGCAAGCTTGATACAAAGATTGGGGAAGAGACACTGTTCCTACTACCTCCAGAACATGCCATCTTGTATTTCACCAGAATCCCAATGAGCTCATACCATAAGCTCTGCAATGTGCTCTCAAATTATGATTATTTGCCAGCCAGATAGCTTAACATTTTCTTTCTGTGTTGTAGAACAATAATAGTCTTTCTGATGCTTACCTGCTCCAGGAAGCAATATGAGCCAATGATTTGAATTAATGCTATCTTGATTTAGTTGTAAATTAACTTTTTTATCGTTTTCAACCAGTTTGTATGTTCTTTTGTTTAGAAAATAGCAGGCATAAATAGAAAATTTGATTTGAATTGGTTATTATAATTGGTATTTTCTCTTATTATTTTCTCATAGTAATGTAAGGCTAAAACTCTCTACATACTTACATGGGTAAGTCCCCCATATAGTGTACAGATATGTTTAAGATTGATTTAAGTTTACCACACAATCTGGCCTGAATTTATGATGATTAATCTAAATGTGTGAAAAGGTACATTATATGTTGGTCTTTAGAATGTTTAGCAGAGCAATCTGTCAGATGTGAGGGAGAAATCAAGGTAGAGGGAAGTGTCAGTTCATGCATCCTTGGAGGAATGAATTTCCTGCTTTTTAATTTGGCCACTTAAGGCTGCTTTTGTAATAATTTCCCCCTCCCATTGGTAGTTTCCCCCCAGCTCTACTTCCTGTTCAAAACAGGAAAGCTTTGGATTCTGTGGATCCACAGCCTCTTACCATATCAGTAAACCTTGTAAATAATCTGTACACTCCTTGTATAGATCTTGTTTTTATCATTTATGCGCTTTGAGTGTAAGTTCACTTTTCTGCCTGTAACTTTAAAGACAGCTACTGAAGCATGCATGGACAGCACAAAATATAGTAAAACAACTTTTGGATCTTGGTGCTAGCTGCTAATGTGTTCAAGTTTTTAGCTTCAAAGCCTTACTTCAGTTTTTGGTGGAAACACATTGTGCCACATGGGCTAATGTTAAGCTCTTCTGGGGAGGCTTTCTGTTACAGCAGCAAGCATGGTTGTTCCCGCTATATTGTTGTAGGTGCCTGCTAAAAACTTTATTTCAGCAAGTCTAGCCAAGTCTTTGCTTATTTTTTTTTTTTGCATATCATGTGCACTGCTTGAAGTTTTGATTGATTGGCCTCTTATCTGTATTAATGGTGCTAGTAATGAGGTGGTAAGATCACCTTTTTTGTGATTTAGGCTGCAAGCCAATACTTATTTCACGTTATAAATCCTATCAATGAGGCTTACAATGAGTAGACATGTATAGGATTTCACTAGTTTCCCTTTAAAATCTTTCCACATACTATTTTAATATGGGTGATACATTTTAACTTCTTATCGTTTTGCATGTCGCCTGCTTAGAACGCCTAGAAATTATTTACAGCAAAACACGAGTTTAAATGCATTTCAAAACGACCTTTGTCCATGACACTGCAGGTGATTAACAGTCTTAGATTGTATATATTACAGTGGGTTAAATTACAGTATGGTGCTGCATGATTATTCAAAGTCCCGTTATGGTTAGCGTGGATTTTTAGGATTTCAGCCGTATCAAACAGTATTTTTCGCCTTTTATCTGTTGTGCCCCTTTGCAGCTCGATAGGCAACGCCTGGCGAACGCAAATTTTACTCGATTCCCCGGCTAGGCCTAGCTTGTCCTGGACTACATTTCCCAGCAGACTTTGCTCGGAGCGCGAGACCGGTCGTCAGGTGTCCACACCCCTCTATATTTTCGCGCCGAGATTTGCTCTTCCTCCTCACGCGAAGAAAGGGGAGGGGGGGACACATCCCATTTCCCAGCATTCCTTGAGGCATTCCTTGAGGCAAGGGCTTTAAAGCGAGTTCCTGTTTGCCCGAGGGGATTAATTGACCGGCGCCGTCTTTTCCTCGGGGGCCGCAGCAGAGAAGGTCGAGAGCACCGACCTCCCATCCCACCCCCCGCAACCTCGCTCCGTTGCCGGTCTGTTCTTGTTCAAGATGGCGCTGGAAGGCTTTCTGACGGGCCAGGCCTACTAGTCACGTGGACAGAGCGTGAGTACTCGCGCGCCCCCCCTTTCCCCATCTCTATGGTTTGGGTGGCGGGGCGCGCCAAGAGGGAGGCGAGTAATAGGCGGAGGGAAGGGGGGGCTTTTCTCATCCTTCCGGAGAAAGGGAAATCGGCGGAGCCTCGGAAAGGGCGGGAGCGCGGTGGCGGCGGCGTCTTTCACTGCGATACAGCGCGGGGGGTGGGGAAGGCGGCGCGGATAGGAAGATGCTTTCGCCGCCCGTTAGAGGAGCAGAATTTAACTGCTGTCCTGAAAGGAAGGGACCGAAAAAACCGTGTTCTTCCTTTCTTCTCTCCCGCCTTCGTCTGCCCGATTGGCGGCGGCGGTGCGTGAGGCGGCAAGCGCCATCGTGTTCCCTCAGCCGCCAGGAATGGCGCCTCGTCAAGCGCCTCACCGCCTTTTATACCCTCGGGGGGCCGGCGCGCGCGCTCGGGCGGTTGGTGGGGGGGGGGAGAAGCTTGCAACGGTCATGTTTGAATTTTGAGAGGGGAGGGCACCGGTCCCTGCTTCTCTCTCCGCCGCGGAACGATGCCCTAAAGCTGAGGCGAAGGCGAGTGAGTGTCAAGGAATACGGGAGCGCGAATTTTCTCCTCAGTTTTGTTCCTCCTTCCTTCCCCCTTGTCCCTCCTCCCCTCCCGCGCCTTCGCTTTTGCTTCTCGCGCCGATTGACAATTAAGCTCCTGGGGACTGCACCAGCTGTGGCCTGTAATGTACCTAATAAACGAGACTCCCTCGCGTCAGTTTCAGGTCATGCAAGGAAAAGGGCAGAGCGGGTGGCGGCGGCGGGGTAGGTGGGGGGTGGCGGCGGCGGCGTTGTAATGCGCGCTCTGGGCGGGGTTTCCTCCTGCCCTTCGCAAAGAAGGGAGTCTGGCTGATGTCTGCTGCAGATAAAGGAGACAAGAGGACTGTCAGAAAGAGCCCGAACCCTTTTGCCATGGCTCCTTCCTTCCTCTCTCTCTCTGGGCTCTTCATTTTATTGTGGGTGGAACATGCCCGCCTTTCTTCTCTCCTTCCAGGATGGGGTCGGGAGCACCATGGCCCTGGCTGAGGTAGTAGTTTGTGCTGTTGGTCGGGTTGTGACATTGCCCGCTGTGGAGATAACTGCGCAAGCTACTGCCTTGCTAGTGCTGGTGATGATCAGCTGCAGATGAAGACAATGACAATGGGAATCCCCTTTGTTTTCCCAGGGATTACTTGCATACGGAAGGAGGGGTGGCAACAGAACCAAGCTTGCCTTTGCTGTTTCTGTGTGTTTAATGCCTCTCAGTATATGGCTTTGCAGAGCTTGGCTTCGCACAACTGAAATGTGGCATTTTCCCGTTTTTTATTTCCTCAGGAAATGTCTGAATTTTGGAATGCACAGTATTTACGTCAGTTTTGCATGTTGTATTCCTTAGTGACGTCCTGGCAGATACTGTTCTATTCAGATTATTAATTTGGCTAAAGAAAATGCCTGTTTGTTATCTATTACATATTCGTGGAAAGCTAAAATTTATTGTACATTTTGCATGTGCTGAATAGACAGCATCTCATACAACAAATCTTTAGATGGGCACTTACATATTTATAGTGAAATTTTGATACTTGTATTGCACCAGTAAGGACATATGTTTAGATTGTGTTGCTGGGCTAAATAGTTTGGGATATAATGAGTGGCAATTACTGTTTGAATTCTGGTTATGGAAATGACATCAATAAAACACCATTTATGAGGTTTTCATAAATTTTAACGACTGTGCACTTATTCTGCACTGCATATAAAAATACTGAAAAATAGTAGTTGCATTGAATAAGACAATGATATCAATACCTAATATTTTGTAAGAATAATACATAACGTCACATGCCTTCCTAATGACAGATGCTATAGTCTTCAGTTTTAGAATTAACTGCAAATCTACACATGTCTACTCAAGAGTTCCATTTATAATGGGACATTACCAGGTAAGTGCATAGCTGTCTAACTAGTTTGTTTTCCCTCCAGTGTATCATTTAACTAATATTTAATTTAAGTATAGAAGCACCTAATATTTCATGAATTCTGTATCTCCATATTTTAAAACCTTAGGATAAAAAGTAAAGTGAAATAGTGACATCCAGCATTAGTCCTGCTCAGAGTAGATTCATTAAAATCAATGGACTTCAGCTCATTGATTTCAGAGGACCTACTTTTGAGTATGATTCATGTTGGATATAACTCAATTTACCCAAATTCCACTATTATTAGATGACAAAATTAAAAATAATTGGCGAAAGAACTCTGGGTAAAATATCTTAAAGGCTTTTTAATACTAGTATGAAACACAAACTAGTATGATCACTATATAAAAGCTCCTTAATTAAACTAGTGTTTGCCCTTGCTGAAATGAATATACTGAGCTATAGATTGGAAAACAATAGGTTCTTTACTTGTAAAGGTTCGTTGTTCAGTACTTAATATTGTGAGCAACATCCTCTCTGTGTTGTATGCTTTATTAGTTAGGTGTTGGATTTCTTATTTTTTTCAAACTTTGTATGGCTAAATCATGAAAAGATAGGAATACGTTAATTTGTAAAGCTTATATAATAAAACACATTTATCTTTATTTGATATCTTTGGTGCTGTATGCTGAGCTCCAGTGAGTTTCTTTGTTTTAAAAAACACCTGAAACTTAGAAAGCTGTAAGGTAGGGTGGCCTGTTTAAAGAAGATATGATGAAAAAATAAATTGAGGACACAAGTTAGAGCAGTAATGGGAAAGTGTAGTCTTTGTGGCAAACGTGTTATTTTTCACTTTTATCTAAAAGATGTAGCTTAAACTTGGATCTAGAACACTTTAAAAAAGTACTTTCAGGATACACAAGGAAACTTTGATTAATTTTTTGAAAGATTCATCGAACACAAACATTTCTACATTGAATAATTTTATGAAACCTCAGGGAAAAAATTATGGCTATTCATCCTCTCAGTAGTATTGTTGGAATGATGTGACAGCTGACAACCGTATCCCATAAGAATGGGGAGTGAATATAGGATTTTTGAAAATGTGCAAAAAATTCCTTGTAAATCATAACGTGAGATCAGGATTGTACTTCAGATGAAATTGCTTTTTAAATATTAAAAGTTTCAGCATCATCAGTTAGGAAACCAATCAGATTTTTGCACACAACAGGGAACTATGATGCACATTTACTCATCCAAGTTCAAACTGTCTTTGTAATGCAGTTTGAAGCACATGATTGGATGTGGCTCTTTACTGCAGACTCCTACACCAAGTAAGAGAGAACTTTGGTTGTATCCAACTAAGTTCTACTCGGAGCAGACCCACTGGAATTTTTGACCTAAATTGGTTGTGTCCATTAATTTCTCTGAGTGCAACACTTCATGAACTTTACATAGCTTTAGGAGTGATGTTTTCATTTCAGCTGCTAGTGAATTCGGCAAAATGCTCAGCGCTTCTCAACAAGATTTATTCCATTTGTGTAGTATACAAAAAATAGGGTAGAATTCACTGTAAAAGCAGTTTGTGGGTTGCAAGTAACTCTTCTCTGTATGTGTGCATACATAGGTAGATATATTGAGTACAATTTTCTTCCCCTCCCTAGTTAGTTCCAGGGCTGGGAAGAATATAATTAGTTCTGCAATTTACAAAGCATTGAACGACTGGAGCAATTTATGTTTTGCTCTTAAGTAGATATCTTTCCCATAGCTAAGTCATCAGTTGCTCTTCTGATTTTCAGACTAGTGCCCATCATTCCCTACCACTAGCAAGACAGCACAGTTCTATAATTTAATCCTAGCAGTTATACAGCTGGCACCTCTTTTTAAAGGTATATGCACAAAAGCAACATAACTGCATGGAACTAGACACAATTTAAAATTCATTAAATGAATTGAATGGGAGCTTTTCTTTCTCGTGAGTTTTGCCTATAAATAACCTTTTCGGGTATTTGCAGTTGTCTTTCATTGGTATCAGTAGATAAGGCATTAATGCCTGGGGCTGAATTCAGTATTACATTGATCTTCTTGAAGCAGAAATAAGGGCTTAAATCCAAAGAACTGAGAAGGATGAGAAAATGTATTAGTCCTGTTCTGTGAACTCTTGCAGAAGCTACTTCTTTCCGTGCCACTCTGTCAGGGTATGAGAAATACGTTGAAAAAGGAAGACACAGACTGACCTTAGAAACAGTCCTACAGGACTTGGGTTCACTTTTCTCACTACTAAGTTGGGAACCACTTCCATGAACAAAATAGTTTTCTACTAACTAAACCTATATTCAAGCTATTGTACTAAAATTGCCTTCCATTCCATTCAGGCTAATTATTTTAGAGAGGGCATTTTAGGAAAGTGGGATGGGCTAGTAGAACTCTTGCACAGGATGGGTTTAAATGTTACATTTCCCTACACAATTCCAAGTGATTTTAGTAACTTACAATTTATGAAATCTGCATGGCTTGAGAGCAAGGTTTTGAGTACTTGGGGAAAATACTGAGTTGTAGACATAGATTTAACTAGTATAGTGAGTCTACCCATTTATTAAAGTATATCACATCCTGCCTGCCTTTCATCACAGAGTTTACCATAAAGCCAAACCATTCAGAAATGCTGCATAATACATTCATCAGATTATTCCATCTCATGAATGGGGAAAGAATGCTTGAATATTTGAATATTCATCAGTATTCTGGGATGTCTCTTTCAGGTGTTTTGTTGGCATTTCTTCAGAATTGTCAGTGGGGCTAAAAAGTTGGATGCAATTATTTGATTTTGTATACTTCACCTTCCTGTAATTTGTTAAGAAAGTGCTTACTACAAAATAAAACTATAATAATAAATTATATATAATACAAGATTTAAAATAACCACAACCACAGAGAACAATGAAGTAAATCTACTTTTCCAATACCTGGTAGAAAGAGCTAGTCTTGGCCAAGTCCCTGAAGGCTAGCTGTGGTTATGGCAGGCAAATAATGGACGGGGTCATGCCATACATTTGAAGTATATGATTTCCCCCAAAGAATCCATGACCTGTAGTTCACCCCTCATAGAGCTAAAAATTCTCAGCATCCTTAAACTAGCTTCCAGGATTTTTTTGGAAAAGTCGTGTATTGCATATGTGTTGACTATATGGTGTGGAATTGCCAAATACCTGGAGAGGGAGTGCCAGAACAGGAAAGGTCCTCTCCCTGGTCGCCCATCTAATCTCAAGCTAGGGTGATGAGAAGGAGTTCCCTGGATACTATGATACATTGATGCAAATATGAATTATCTAAGGCCCTCCAGATGATAGACTATAATTCCCATCATCCCTGACTTGTTCATGCTGGCTGGGCCTGGTGTAAATTTGAGCCCAACAACAGGCGTACTACAAGTTTCCCATTTCTGTATTAATAGCTCATGAGACAATGTGGGTTAATTTGTAGGGTTTCCTTAATTTACTGTTGGGAGTTGTAAATTCTTAATGCCTGAATGTGTGAATGCTCAAAAGTGGATGGGGTTAGGGACATGCATGTAAACAGCACCCTCACCATGCACACGCACACACTGGCCTCTCCCTCTTTCCTTCCATCCCTC